TCTCCCTGGCTGCCTCTCCCAGAACCCGAACCCAGTACTGGAAAGGTAGATCTCGCTAAAGCACTCTGGGACTGCTGAAGGTTAGAACCCCTCTGCCTCCTACCATCCCCTTGGCCATCCTGACTCCTCTTGGAGCCCCTCATCCTATCCTCCTCCTCCATCATGGACTCCATATAGGTCGCGGCATCCACAAGACGCCCATACTCCCAGATCATGGATCCCCCAACCCTTATCTTAAGGCCATGCCTCAACTTCCTTTCGAACTCAATACAACGGCGTTCTTCCGACGCCACGAGCTCAGGTGCAAACCTGGACAAACTGGTAAAGGCGACCTCAAACTCGACCACTGACAAACCTAGCTACTTGAGCTGACAAAATTGGTCCTTCAGTTTTTCCCTGATAGTTGGGGCTAAGTACTTCTCCTGGAGAGCATCTACAAAAGCCTCCCAAGTGCCACCAATACGGCCCCTCGTGAACTTCCACCCTTGACCCGCATCCCCCTTAGGCTGGAAAGATGCCAAGGTCACCTTTAATACCCCGTCCTCGATGCCAATCATCTCAAATGTCTTGGTCATCTGCTCGAACCACTCATCAGCCTTAAGTGGCTCCTTTGGATCCCTAACAAACTCATCCGGATTAGACCGGAAGAACTCCCTCTTTTTAAAGGAAGGCCCTGCATCTACAACCTGGGCCTGAACTGGATTCTCAGCTCTGAGAATGCCCATAGATTCTTTCAAAGCATCTGCTATCCCACGGGCTAAGGCGCCCATAGCCTACTAACCTGCTGGCTTGGCCACATTGGCCTGACTAACCCCCTCCTGCTACGTCAGAATATCATCCGGTATAGGCATTTCCTGCCTCCTAGGCCTGCCTCGCCTACCACCACGTCCTCGTCCTGACATCCTAATAAAGGTAATGAAGAACATTAGCACATTCACAAATGTCCCGAAGCTATAACACTCGCGTCCTAATGCAATGGACAACTATAATTCACTCTACGTAAGTACATAATCACATAAGCACCTACGAATTTCATTTCCGGATAATGATAGTCCCGAGGCGTCACTAGAGTTCCAGTTAGAAACAGCATTGATCAAGTGCTTTTCTAACAAGACTCATAGAAACCCAAGGATCCAATCAACATCCTAGAAACTAAATCCCATACCCTAATAGTCACATAGACATGTTATCACATAAGCATATAACACTACCTCTAACTCTCTAACAAGCGAGACGAACCCATTGTGGCACTAACCACTTCTCGCGTACCCAAGGTATTCGAACCCGGTACGCTCTGATACCATGTTGTAACGCCCTAAAAAATAAACCCATCATAGCATACATTCACGATAAATAAAAGAGTTTTCATATTATATTCATCAGAGTATTCTTACAAAAGGTATTACATGTTGACAATAAAAGTAAACGCCCTATAGGCTTACAACTTTCCAAGCCAACACTTGGTTACAAAAGAGAGTACTAACTCTACACAAATAAGCCCTTGGCTTGATATACATGTAATACAACAAAAATAACAAAAAAGAGTCTACAGCATCAAGCCTCCCAAGCTACGTTCTTGGAGGTGGCATAACACATGTACCTAAAAATGATGTCCCATATAGGGTGAGCCAACGCCTAGTAGAGATATGTTAAACATAATATGAGCAATAACTAAAACATTAACACTTAATAAATGTTTAACTTAATAAAACTCAACTTATAAACATGGCTCAGAACCTGGCCAAATAACTGAAGTGAGACTACATCTCATGCCAACAATACTACAAACTGCCATTTTACGGAAATTGCGTCCGCGGGATTCGGCACCCATGTATTTCATTCTCTTATGGCCATTTTACGGATATTTCATCCGCAGGACTCGGTACCCATGTATAGATATATTCGGATTGCCATTTTACAAAAATTGCGTCCGCGGTATTCGGCACCCATGTATAATTATATTCAAATGGCCAGTTTACAGAAATTTGATCCGCGGGATTCGGCACCCATGTATTCAAATACACGACTTGATTAGTTTCAATTCACCTAATCATCATGCAATGTCTACAACAATCAAAACTATCCTCCACCGATAGCCCAAAGCAGTTATTTCTAAACAGATAATAAATGCCTCAACAGATATATAATTGACATTTTCAAAAGTGAGCAATTTATCAATCTAACTCCACCATTCTATCTCTTAATGAGCAAATTTCATTATCCCCAACTCAATTCATAACAAATGTCATTAATTACACTAATGACCCAAATATACCCAAATATGGCATTTTTCCCTTTAAGGTTAATATTGACCCAAGGGTCCAAATATTGTCAACAACACCAATATTCTCATCTCTAGGCTCAAATATGCATGTATAGGCTCAAAATACAAAACCCCTCTTTTATACATTTTGAAACCCTAACACCCAAAATCACCCAACTTAACATTATATCAAAAAGAACAATAGTTTATGTCAAAGAACAAAGGAATGAGTAGTTATCCCTACCTCAAATTGAAGAGCTAAAATGGAGGAGATGACCAAAATCCAAAGTGTTCCAAATCTAACATTTTTCAGATTAAAAGGAAGCCCTCAACACTCTCTATCTTTTATACAGAGATCTTTGGTTATCCCTACCTCAACACTCTCTGTCTACTGATATACGTATGACCCGCTCAAGCGGAGAATAGGACGCTCGAGCGCCAGACACAAAAGCTGGACACGCTTGAGCGCAAAGATGCCCGCTCAAGCGCCAAGACACAACTACAAAATACACTTGCTCGAGCGCAAAGGGAAAGCCGCTCGAGCATAGATTTCCCTTTTCCAGAATTTTTATAGACAATGAACTACCCGCTCGAGCGCCAAGATACCCGCTCGAGCGTAAAGAAAACCGCTTGAGCTTGAAAAACACACCTACAGAAGTTTTGCAGAGGCACGAAATGCTGAGAGTGTGTAAACCCCGCTCGAGCGCAAGAAGACCCGCTCAAGCGGACAACCAAAAATCAAACTCCGCTTGAGCGCAAAGGGACCCGCTCGAGCGTACCACTAAAAATCTGGGCAAGAAGGAATGGGACTAAAGCTCAACCAACCTGTTTGAAACACGCCCAATGCATCCTAAAACTCAAGCACACGGAATTAAAGGATAACAACAAGATATACAACCACCAACTCCAGGGAACCTAAGTCCGGAATTACAACAATCAAAGGAAGGGAAACCGGGATCGCTATACTACGCTTCTATATTTATAATGAACTTCATTAGATCAAAGGGTTGACATCACATCTTTAAAAAATGAAAAAGTCTAGAGTCCCAGACTTCTTTATTTTCGGGTGGGTAAGAATCCAAGATAACCACCCAAATTTTCTAAATGGATTATTGTGTGGTGAAGAATTTCAAGAGAAGTCCTTGAAGAGTCAAAAGAAAAGGGTCTCAACTCTAAGAAAACTTGATGGTGGAGGGATGAGTTTCAAGCAGTAGTAAAGACGAAAAAATAGTGCTTTAAAAAGTAGCAGAATGATAGAACTGAGGAAAACATTAAGAGTTACAAATTGGCTAATAAGGAGGTTAAAAAAGTAGTGAAAGAGACTAAGTTGAAAGCTTATGATGACCTATACACTAGACTAGATAATAAGAAGGGAGAGAAGATAACATACAAACTTGCTCAGATAGAGAGGAAAACAAGAAATTTTAATCAGGTTAAGTGCATCAAGAGTGAGGACTCTAAAGTGTTGGTGAAAGATGAAGAGACTAAGGAGAGATGGAAGAACTATTTTGAGAAGTTGTTAAATGAGGAACATCGAGGAAGGTCAAAAGGGGAGGAATTAGCCAGTAATAAAGAAAACCAAGACTACAGGTTCTCTCGCAAGATTAGAAACTTTGAAGTGGAGATAGCACTTAAGAAGATGAAATTGAATAAGGTTTAGAAAACCAAGACTACAGGTTCTTTAGAAGCCAATGATATCCCTATTGAAGCTTGGCAATGTTTGGGTAAGAAGGGGATTACTTGGTTGACTAGGCTATTTAACAAGATTTTATTGACTTGAAAAAAGGCAGAGAAATAGAGGAAAAGTATTTTAGTGCCAATCTATAAGAATAAAGGAGACGCCCAGAATTGTATCAACTATAGAGGAATCAAGCTGATGTGTCATGTAATGAAAGCATGGGAGAGAGCGATGGAATACCGATTATGAGATATGACAGAGGTATTAAAGAATCAATTTGGATTTATGCCCAGCAGGTCAACAATAGAAGCGATCTATCTTTTGAAAAGAGTAATAGAAAAGTATAGAGAAAAGAAAAGAGACATTCATATGATTTTTATCGATCTTGAGAAAGCATATGATAAAATGCCTCAGGATAATATGGTGAGTATTAGAGGAGCAACAAAAGGCTATATTAATGTGATTAGAGACATGTATGAATGTGTGGTGACCACTATTAGATCGCTGGCTGGAGACAAGTGAATTTCCAATTACTGTGGGTTTACACTGAGGATCAACCTTAAATTCTTATCTTTTTGCTTTAGTTATGGATGAGTTGGCGAGAAATATTCACGATGATATGTCGTAGTGTATGCTTTTTGCAGATGATATTGTGTTAGTAGATGAGACTAGAGAAGCAGTTAACACTAAGTTAGAGACTTGGAGAGAAGTACTTGAATCTAAAAGATTTAAGATAAACAAAACTAAGACAAAGTATATGGAGTGTAATTTTAGTAACAGTAACAATGGAAGCAGAGGAAAAGCGAGGATTGAGAACCAAGAGCTACCTAAGAGTGAACATTTTTGTTATTTAGGATCAATTATCACAACAGCTGTGGAAATTGATGTGGTCCATAGAATTAAGGCGAGGTAGTTTAAATGGAGGTATAATATTCCCAACAATCATCTAGAGCCAAACACACTCCTATGTCAAACTCCATTTAGGATATCTAAACCCAACTCCAAACTTGATAGTAGGTGTGACCAAACACCCCATTTCAACACAAAAAAAAGAAAAAAAAAGTGCAGATTTTTTTTTTTGTTTTTGTTTACATCGTTGTCTTCATGCTTTCCTCTCTACCTTCTCTCTCATTTTCCTTTACTTCCTTGGTGGCCAAACACCACACCCTTGCTCCACCCTTACACCACCACCTTAACCCACCATCTCCACCACCGCCTGCCACCTTATCTCGCCGGAAAAAAAGGTCCGGTCGGCCACTCCTTAAATCCATCCGAAAATAGCACAATAGAAGTATCAACTCTAGATTTTTCTTAATCTTTTAAAGAATCAAAGCATGGGGTTTATTTTCTTGATGGATTAGAGGCTTGTAATTGGTAAGAATCTTTCTCTAAAAGTTTAGTCTAAGGTTTTACATATTTTGAGTTAGAGATGATGAAATTATTGTATTTTAGATCTATTATGATTTGGGATTTGATTGTTGAATTTTATACTCTCAATTAGTTTCTATGAATGTTTTACATGTTAAAAAATGATCAATTTGATGGTTGTTTTGGAGATTAAGATTTTGGGTTAATCTAGGGTTTGAATGTGATGTAAAAATTGGGGATTTTGGTGTTAGGAAATTTATATGTTGAAATTGATTTGATAAATGGTGGATTGGGTATCTCTATGTTTTGTGGAGGAATTTTATAAGTGATTGAAGAGATTTTACTTCAGTTGTTGAGTTTATAAAAAATGTTAATTTTTGACTTTTGTAATTAATTGATGGTGGTATTGTGCTTATAAATTGATTAGATATTTAAAAAGTTACTAACTCAAAGATGTACAAAAGGTGGGTGTTATGGAGATTGGATAAGTTATTTGTTTGGGTGACTTGAAGTTGGAGGAGTTCTTTAGCTTGTCATTCCTTAACATAATTTTATTTAGGATCATTTTTGTAGATGTTGTAATTTTCATTGAAATCTTTTTCCTAATTTTAGGTCCTATTTATTAATTGTTAGGATTGGAGGAAGGCGTCTCTACACCTCTTGGGAATTAATTTGTAGAGTCTCAATCTACGCTTTTACTATTTTTGGAGGTGAGTATACTTACCATGGAAATTACCTTACCTCTATCTTTATTATAAAGTTTGAAGATAATTTTGAATTAAAGGAAGTGAACGATACATTTCATCATGGTATATGTATAAAAAGAAAAATCTATAAATCTATAAATCTATTGAGGCCAATAGTTGAGTTTAAATAAATATATGATTTCATTTGTATAATGAAGCACTAATTTTTATGAGAATTTATTTAAGTTGAGTCCTTCAAATTTTATGATGATGATGATTGAATGACAATGAAACGTTGTACAAGGGTATTTTTTTTTTTTTGTTTTGATCATATAACCAAATATAGCCTTTGGGGCCACAACGGCCAAAATGCTTTGGGGTCCTGGGGACTGAAATGTTTTAAGAACCATAAGGGTCGTTGTATATATAAGGGGTCCCGGGGACCGAAACATTGAAATGAGAATTGAAGTGCTACGTTGACATGAGTTATGTTCCTATGGTTATGTTTTGGGTAACGGTACCGTCACCACCTTAGTCGCGAGGTAACGCGATCCTAAGGCTATGTAGTGGTTCGTATGATGGACATGAAATCTTAACGTATTGAAAAGTTGTATTTTTGTTTACTTTCATTATTTTTATTTTTATTTTGTATAAATTTCAGTCCAATTAAGCTCTTATGTTTATTATCTTTATTTTGAACCCAATTGGAAGGAGCAAGTTTTATAACTCCATGGTATTGGTATACTCATTGGTCTTTAGCTCATTCTTTTAAATAATTTTTTTTTTTTTTCAGATTCATAGACTTTTGTGTGGCTCGCCTTAACTCGGAAGATTAGAAATTTTTTTGAAGGATCAAAGGTGGGCATCTTGTAGTTGAGGTTTTGCTTAGGGTCATTCTAGGATGTAAGTTTACCTTTTATTTTTTTTATGAAGGAGGTTGACTGTAAATATTGCTTATAAAGTTGGATGTATTGATGGATTCGTGATTAGTATGTATTATTTTTTTGGGGGAGGAAATGTTTGGGAACTATCTTGTAGCATGACAATACTTTTTGTCTTTGAATAGATCATCTCATATATGTTGGGCAATTGAAAGGTCTTATGCACTTTTGGTGATGTGGTGATGTGATGTAAGAATTATACAGGAATTGTGGTGTAAAGGTGCTATAGCGTTTGAGGTGCACCCTCTTGGCGGGGTTTTGCCTTGCCAAGATTGGGTCGTTACAGGAGGAGTGCGTGTAGAGTACTATGCGATAAACAAATACCTACTAGACTAAAAAAAAAGTTCTATAAAACAGCTGTTAGTCCAGTGATCTTGTATGGGACGAAATGTTGAGCAACTAAGAATTAACATGTAGATGAAATGAGTCTTACTGAGATGAGGATGCTAAGGTGGATGTGTGGCAAGACTAGAAAAGACAAAAATGAGAATATTTGTGAATGGGTAAGAGTAGTACCGATAAAAGATAAGTTGAGAGAGAATATACTGAGATGATTTGGTCATAGGCAACGGAGACCAAAAAAAGCAGTAGTGAAGAGATGCGATATAGTGACAGTAGACAGAAGTGTTAGGAGACGAGGCAAACCTAGATTGAGGAGAGCTAGTATAATAAATAGAGGTATGAATCTCCTTAACTTGACTAACCAAATGTCCATTGATAGAGCCGAGTGGAGAAAAAGATTCATGTAACCGAACCCATTTGATGGGACTTAAAGCTTGGTTTGGTTTGGTTTGGGAGATTGTGTGGTGAAGATTAAATTTGTGTAGTGTAGGATCCACATGTAGAATAAATTTGAACCATAATAGAATAATTATGGATACTTTCAGGGTAGTTAAGTCTGGATTTGTAGTATTACTGTTAAAAAATTAGGCAAAATAGAAAAAGATGTGTGCCTCACATACATCCTTTCTTTCACATAAAAACTAATTATTATTTCATCCTTGAGAAGGGCATTAGTCCCATTTTGCTGGAGCGATTAGTAGCTCCATGGTGGTGGGGATCAATTGCTGGCAAGGTATCCCAACCATTGTGTTAAACAACCCTCCTTTCCAAAACTCTACAAAAAGTTTATGATCTTGTTTCATACTTTATGTGAGATTTTTTTGAGTGATTTTCTTCCAAAAGTCTTCATTACACATCATTGCATTGTTCTATCACCCGGGAATCGATTGGTAATTTAAGGCGTTTGAGAACAGAGATTAAAGCCCTTTTTTGGAAGACAGTTTTGGGCTAAAATAGCCAATAAAGACAAAATATCACATCCAAACCATAATCATTTCATTTTGTCTCTCACAACCATCAAATCAATTACAAAAAAACTAGCCAACTTCCCAAACACAACTTTTTGAGCTAGGCTAAAATAGCCGAAAAGCCAACTAAAATAGCCAACTTCCCAAACGAGCTCTAAGGCATGGATTTTTGTGGTATCTGGTGGATCAGGAAGGTTGACTAGGTCAAGCTATGCTCATGGAACTTCTTCAAGACGACAAAGGAGGCTGAACCTAGGTGATTGGTTCTAAGTCCTTTGTCTATGTCTTGTACTCTAGATTCATTTAAAGAATTTTGTTTGGTGTTGGGGCCATGGTTTTTTCTCTATAGGAGATTTTTCCAATTGGGCTTCCCACGTTACTTATTGTGTTGTTGCATTGAATACTATTTTGATTAATTTAGTTCGCAGCAATTTAAAATTGGGAACCAGTTTAAGTAATCATAATTTTGTGACAATGGCCTATTCACCACCCTCTAGGCACAATATATTCGAACTCCAATTATTCAATTGGTATCAAAGCTTTGTAGCTCATTGACTTAGCTTAGCTACTGGAGTTGATCTTAGGTTCCACTGCAATGGAGACTGAAGTGAATAGAAGAGCAGCTTCCTATACTAGACCTCCTTTGTTTACTGTGAGTACTTATCCCTACTGAAAGCCTAAGATGAAATAGTTTTATATCACTTGGATGTGGAATTTAGGGTCGAACCACCTGCACACTATGATTTAAGAAAAAAATTGAAAACACTCACACAATGGAATACAATTGATATAAAGAATATTGAATATAATGCCAAAGCACTCTGGGCTATTCTCAGTGATGTAACTGGTAGTGAGATTGAGAAAGAAGCCTGGGATATTCTTAAAATCACACACAAGGGCACACAGACTGTGAAAGGCTCAAAACTGAAGATTTGACCACTAAATTTGAAGGATGTAAAACGATGAAATCTGGGACCTTTGACCAATTTTATGTTAGGCTCAGTGATATTGTCTATTCAACTTTTTGGCCTAGGTGGGACTATACCAAAGGGTCGAATTGTCTGATAAGTTCTTCAACCTCTTCTAGAGCATTTTAGAGCCAAAGTTACAGCCATAGAGAAAAGTAAGAAACGTAGTGACATGCAAATAGATGAATTGATATGGTCCCTACAGACTTATGAGCTGAGCATGTGTCCTTCGAAACACCCTCAGGTATTCTAACAAGGGTATAGCTTTTAAATCCGTGAAAGAAAATAAAATTGAGGCTAATGAAGTGAGATGAAGAACATGAGGAAGATCTAGCGTTCTTTGCTAAGAAATTTGAAGGATACATGAGATTTAGAAAAGGTAACAATCAAAATCAATCTAAAAAAACATAAAGCTATCAAAAATCTGGTGGGGTAAGAAAATATAATAAGGATAAATTACAATTATAGTCCCTAAAGTTTAACATCTTTTTGTTTAAGTTCCCAAAATATTAGATTCGAATTAATTTAGTCTTGAAGGCAATATAAAAATAGAACATAAGTCTAAAGGTTATATGAAATTGTGATCATGCCCATATTTTAATTTATTGTTAACTTAATTATCTTCTACATGTGTGTTTTTATAATTGTTATATTTCTCCCAGAATAATTAATGCTAATTGCTCATATAGGTCTTCTTTTATTTCTATTTTACTATTATTTATTTCATCTAATACACAATTATCCATTTTATCTACTTTTTTTTGCTATTTCTAATATTATTTTATATTTCATTTCATTATCTTTTTCTTGTTCCCCAATTATTTATAATTCTTCTAGACTATAATTCCTTATATCCATTTTTTTTCATTTTTTTGGTGGTATTAATTCAAAAAGATTCACTTGGAGAGTTCCCTTGTAAGGATAAGGATAGTTATATGTATTATTTTTTACAATAATTGATTGCTTGCCTTTATCTAATAATAGATATCAAACTTCATGTATAATTTCTAATTTATTTTTTTTAAAGATTTTCGTTAAGTTCTTTTAATAACCTAATTATAGTATTATTTCGTTCGATAATTATTTGTAGTACAGTACTATTATTTAAATAGTCGTATTCGACTTCTTCATTATATCTAATGCTCATATATTAATATTGACAAAACTAAGATACCCAACTCTGGTATGAATTCTAAAACACACGCCCGGAGGATATTAAGCAAACAATAAATTAAAATTTGGGCCTTATAACAATTTTATATAACCTTTGGACTTCTGTTTTATTTTTATATTGTCTTGAAGACTAAATTGATTTGAATTTAATACTTTAGGGACTTAATTGGCAAAATTGAAACTTTAGGGGCTTAAACGAAAATGTGTAAAGCTTTAGGGACTATAGGTGTAATTTATCCATATAAAAAAGAGCTTTCAACCTACACCTAAAAACTGGGAATTCAATGTCATGAGTGTCATGGTTTTGGCCACGTGTAGGCCGATTGTGGCAATGGGAACACCAAGGGTATAGATTTGAAAGTTGTAAGGGAAGCTAATTTGAGCCCACTAAATTAATTAGGCCCAATAGTCCAAGGTTGGTAGGTCCGAATTTATTGCAAGTTCAAGATTGGTGGACCCGGATTTATCGCCATCAAACGGGCTGAATCGCTTTAAGCCTCAAAAGGGTTCGGATCCACGAACTTAAAGACTTACTCGGGCCCGGACGCGAAAGGGTATTGAACAAGTCTAGAAATCCGAGGCACTCGGACTCGAAAGGGTTCGGATCCACGAACCTAGAGATCCGAAGCACTTGGCTTCGAACGGATTCAAACGCAATCTAGAAGTCACTCTGTTAATGAGTCCCAGAATACTTGCGGCCTCGGAGCTTTCCGGGATCTACGCACCAGAACCATGGGCGTAATGGAGTTCGAACAAAGGACCCGATCCCGAGGACGGTGAGTGGAGATAAATTCACTCTTCGGTTAAACTAGCCTATACTCTTATGTAGTAGGACGTCCTCTAGGACTACTCCTGACCCTTTGGGATGATTGAGGATCATTAGTTAGGTGTGGCTAAGAAGAAGAGTTCGCCGAGAGGTTGATCTCCTCTTTGAGGGTTTTCCTCATCCTCGGAAAGGTCACCTCATCGGACAAGATAGTTAGAGAGAATATTTCCCATGTGCCTTGCACATGGGCTCTATCCTACATCATGAGGTGCCTACAAATAGCACCTACCCATAACTTTACAAGAGATGGATTTTGGAGAGAAAACTCTTGGGAAAGAACTAATTTCCTTTCTCCATTATCAACCTTGAGAGTGAAAGTGGGAGATCCATGGGAGAGTCTTACCATTATTCTCTCTATAATTACTTTGTCTTCTTCTTCACCCAATCCCTTATCTCCATCATCTCTTTGCTTTTGTGTTCTTAGTTGAGACTATTGAAGAATCTAAAGCTCTTATCATTTTCTAGAGAATTTGAGTCTTCTTCAAAGATCTTCGAAGATCATCGAATTCTCCAACGACGTTCTTGAACCCTCTCATACATTTGGCAACTTCACTGGGAGGAGGGATTGGTTAATGGTCTCAACGAGATTTGGAACCCA